ATATATAAAATCAAATATTTGAATGGACAAAAAAAAATATACATATACTTACTTGTTTTGCCCTCTTCCACTAGCACGTAGACCGGTTGTCACCGCGTACATGGATATGTCGTAGTCCATACATTCCACATCGTGAATTGCGCCTGTCTGCTTCAACTGCACAAATGCGACATAGTGCTCCCTAGCAATAGGACTCCTGCATCTACTGGACTTGTTTTGTTCCTGTTGAAACAAATTCAGAGTTTTGTGAAATGCGGCGTCTACCAAAGCTCTGCACAGCAGGAACCTAACCCCTTTCAGGACGTAGTTGTAACTCTCCAACATATTCGTTGTCAAGGTGCCCCATCTACGTTCTTCATCTCGATACAGGATCCACTGGTTCAAAGGAATTTGGAAAAGGTAATTTTATGTTTCGGGATTAAGTTCATTAAGTCGCTCTTTTATCTGTCGAAACTTTCGCTTCGACAACTGGGAACCCAAATCCCAACACCAATTCTGGATTTTCTTACTCCTGAACCTAGTCACCACGTTGCTTCGAAGGTATCGAAGGCAAAACCGGTGATACGCAGTGGGTTCTTGCCAATCTTGTAATGATTCAAACGCACTGCGTAGGCCCACATCCCTGTTAGAAAGAATGCAGATGTCTCTGTCAAAGACAACATATCACTGCAGATTCCTAAGGAAAAATGACCAACTGTCTGTGCTTTCTTCATCGACAATCGCATACGCGATTGGCAATAGCCGCTTATTCGCAGTCTGTGCTACGGCCATAAACAATTTTCCCTTGTAAGATCCACGTAAATGTGTGTCATCGATGCTAATAACCGGCGGCCACATTTGGAAAGTTTGAATCGCGTGACCAAACGCGCAGAATACAAATTTGAATTCTCTGTCTGGAACGTGTCGCGCCATTTCACCACCCTGCCATTCCCAATCTACAACTGTGTTGGGATTCGCTCTTTGAAGCGCGGCAAAATATCTGCACAATAAAAAACAGTTTCATAAATAAATAAACATAGTGACAGACAAAAAACGCGTATATTTGTAATTGATTTTTGCTTACTGAGGGAGTTCTGCGAAGCTCGATTCCCCAACTGCCATACACACGATCGATGGCTTTTTTCCTGTCGTGCCATGCCTTCTTGTAGCTGACATCGACTTTCCAACACTGCTTCACATCGGCCTGGACCATGTTAACGTTGTAGTCCACTTTCTTCTTAATCTTGTTAATTATAAGATTTGAAATCATATGGTCACGTTTCTGTAGTCATTTCTCTCGACTTGTTGCATACAAGTGTGTTGGTCAGTCCATTCAGTTACTTCCCAAAATTCATCAAGCCGTCTGGACTTATTCACCCGATCCTTCCACACACAAGGCACATCTTCATTCGATTTGCAGACTAGTTTGAATGACTTCTTATTTGAATCATTTGTCCGAATCTCTCGCAACCTATTGATGTTCCAAGCCATTAGGCCCGTTTGGGATTCTTCCTTGCTCCTAAACACTGTACCCAAAAGTATGATCTCAATGTCTCCATTCCAGAGTGGAATTGCATACTCGTTCGCATCTATCCTGGACGGGTCCCATTCACCCATCTCGCGGTATATGTGTCGACCACCACTAGGAAAGGGGTGTTCTTCTTCAATGAACTCGGGTTCACTCTCCTCATTTACCGATCTATCTGATTCGGTTTCTGAGGTCTCGTCTGTGAAATCATCTTCACCGTGAATGAAATCTTCATCAATTTCTTCCCCGTCCTCATTCGCTGCCCATTCTCTCACTGTTGAGCTTGTCCCTTCTCCAAAATGACGTAGATGAGAAGTCGACGTAACCTCGACATCATCCTCCCCCGTAACAAGGAGTAAAATCCTCAAACTGTGTAACCGGTGTAATTGCCTCCAACGGTAAATGTAAATACACCATGACCTAGGAGGAAAGTAATAAATCAATTCAAACTATCGTTATTGAGTGTTGCGGTATTCCACGAACCATCAGGTTGGCTAATCATTAAAGTATTCTTCTGAATTGTCCAACCTTCTCCTAACTGGCATTTTGCATTAATTATCTATACCAATTGTTCATATAGTATTCTCCCTGTAATAATAAATGAACCATTCAGACGATCTTTAAATGAAACAAAATCGCTTAACATTTCCTTCCCCAAATGCTAGTACAAATTAACAAGGTATGGACAGGAATACGCCATTTATACCTGTTGCAAAAACTCTTTCCAATTACAACAACACATAATGTCTAAAATTTAAAACTCATTTTTTTACTCCAACCAAAAAAAAACAAAAAAAAAGCAGTCTCAATCAAATAATCCTCCAAAACCTAATACTCATAATCGAACAATAACATAAAATTCATTTATAATTCTGATAAATTGAAAGCCTTCTAACCCTAATTTCCAAAATCCCTAACCCCAACAACAACAAAACCATACACAATTGACAATTTACACACAAACTTCCAATTCTCAATTCAACATACACACATAATCGATAATCAATTAGCAATTTTCAATCTTCAAACATCACCACATTCAAACATATTATAACAATCCTCAATCTCCAAACAACTCCAAACAATGTAAAAGGTTAATATAATCCAATATACCTTGCGAATGAATTAACCGAAAATGAGTCTCATGTCGGTGTTGTCGATTCACGCCGGGGTGAGTATTTGATCGAGTTTTTGTTTTTCGGAATGAAAGTCGCTTCTGCTCTATTTTATTTTGCTCTCTGCTCTCTGCTCTCCTCTCGCGTAAAATGAAGGAGAGGAAGAGGATTTTTTTATATTTAGTTGTAAAACGTATTCTCAGAATACGGTTTACCACTATTTAATTGTAAAACGTATTCTGAGAATACGCTTTAATTAAATCTATTTTTTAATTCATACGCATTTTATTGAAAATTGCATTCATGTTTTCTCGATTTTTTTTAAATTACAAAGTATTTTCAAAATACGTTTTACAAAAAACGTATTTCGACAATACATGTTATAAATATGTTTTAGATTTATTATTTTTTTTTAATATTTGAATTTTAACGGAATTGTTTTTTTTTATTTACAAAAATAATTATAACACGTATTCTGGGAATACGTTTTTCTAATAAATGTATTTTAGAAAAATATATTACGAGAATACGTCTGTTTGATTTTGTTCTACTCAGTTTTTTTGTTCACTTAATTTTTGTTTATTTAAATATATAAACTACTCAAATAGGGAGAGCAATAATATTACTCTGGTGGAATGTTTTATTATTTAATTTTAAATTAGGAATTAGGAATTAATTATATTTCATATTTATCTAATGATGAGAATATTCCCTCTAGAATATTACCTAGAGTTAGAAGACTATGGAGTCTTCTAGAATATAATTAAATATTAGGAATATTATCCTATATGGGAAAAGGAGATGGAAGATAATAAGGATTACTAAACCCTGATGGAATAAGCTCATATTTAGCACCTTCTGTTGGTCCATATTGTAGCCCATAAATACACTAAGTCCTCTAACCTCCCAAGAGTATCACACACGCTTTTTCTCCCCGAAGGGCTGGAGAAATTCGGCCTCTTCAAGTGAGAAAGAAATAGCGATTCTTCTTCAAG